AACGGTCCGCCATTGTTGACAGTCAGAGTAGTGCCCAGTCCTCCTCTCCGCATCACGGATCGGCCAATAGATGTATGCCCGTTTCAACGCCCTCCCTCCTCCCGCCCTGTTCAGACGGTTCTTCCATGCGCGATCTTCCAGACGCTCTTTCTTTCTCTTGGAGCTCAAATCATGGCTTCTTCAAATATTGAAACAGTTTTCTCGTAAGTTTTCTAAATCTTAGATTCATAATGTATTTCCAGCATTCGTATTCACTCAACTGATATTTGTTTTTATTTCATTCTCAGCTATTTGGTTAAGAATGAGGTATGTTGATTTAGAAATATCTAGCTTTAGCTGTGGGACCATCGTAGGATGATCCCGGACGTGTGCCTATGAAAAAGTGTATAAATTATAAAATGATATTAATTATCACGTTAAGGCTTATATAAAGCTTTGATGGCATGTAAGCTTCTTTGAATTTTAATATTAGTAATTCTGGTAAAAAGCAATGACAACGAATTTCATCGTGAATTTCTAGTTTCGTTTTGAAACATCCTGAGGCTTTGCGTGGCAGTCACGGGGTTCCCAACAATAAACAATATGAAAAAAGGCGTGCCCTTTGAGATACATTAGTTCATCAGTTATAGAAGACAACAATGCTTTCATTAGAAAGAGCATATTAAAATTTGTGCAATCTTCCAAAATTATAATGATTAAATGATAAAATGCTGCAGCGGTTTGAAATCAGAAAGGTTTGTATATAGAAACAACATACTAAGGGCACCCATGCATGCCAATCAGGGCCTACCAGCCATGTTTTTGGTACATTCCAAATGCTTATAACTCTGCAGGGATTTAATATATGACAACGTTGCAGAACTCCAAAATTACTAATTTACACATGGTCTTTCATGTTATCAAAATATATTTTTGAAATCATTAGTTGTTCATGGTGCTCGTTCCCAGACTTTCCCTTGTTTTTCATATGGTCTATAATCCTAACAAAACTTTGCGGCTTAATTTGGAGGGAGAGGGGGGGGGGGGATGGTTTAACTACAGTAGAGGAAAAAAACAGCTCTGGTTATGCTGAAGACAGATCAGACAATTTTGAAAATATTTCTTTGTATTTGAATACGGTCACGACTGCATGACTTTTAAGTTCTCTGCGATTTTTTCTAAATTTTACGCAGTTTAAACTGCTGTCTTTCTGCCAAAAATACACTAGTACTGCTATAAGCTGTCCTACAACGATTTTATTTTGGAACATTTTGTTCTCAGGACTGTTTTATTAAGCGTAAATCAACGATTATTTTGTATAGTCTAAGTCAACTATGCCTGACCAAACTTCTGCGTCTAATTATCGATGATTACGGCTCAGTGAATCTATAAATTATCAGAGCTCTTGGCTCGATAACTCCAAGTTTGCTACTTATTTAATTAATTCTGGCTTAAAGTCTTGATTTCCTGACTCGAACACTACCTATCCTAGAGGTAGAAGAGCTGGAATAAAGGTACATCAGTGGGAAATTCAATGAAGAAATGCAATCATAACTATCATCACACAGCAAGAACATGAAACATAGTCACGCCTGAGAGGAGTGAATACAAATAATGTAATTCAAATTCAAATTCAACCTCAAACCCAACTAAAGGTCGCTGTCAATGGGTGTTACCAACTGCAGAGTCTTTAAACAAAAATGGCATCAAACTGAAAGATGACGTAGTGGAATATGATTGTGATATCGTAGCAGTGACAGAAACATGGCTCCTGTGCAAAAAAATCCTGGCTTAAATCACATTATTGGAGATGTTTGTCCAAAAGGATATAAAATGTATCATACGCCTCACAACACTGGCCATCGTGGGGGAGGTGTCTGTGGTGTGCTGACTTTAGTGTCCCGTCAATTAAACAATGAAACGATAAAACACTCGTTAAACTGGTCGATGTCCATGCTCCAGCACGCATGAAAACTATCTTACTACAACCCCATGCTCCATGGTTCACTCAAGAGCTTGGTGAGGAGAAGAGAGAGAAGATGCCACTTAGAACGGCGCTATCGCAGCACTGGAACAACTGAAGATGCTGTGCGATTTAATGAACAATCTACTCGCTATTATAAATTACTCACAGTCACCAGAGAATCATACTACAACAACAAGATCGTTGAAAACACAGGTGACCAAAAAGTCCTATTCTCTGTGGTTAATAAACTGTTGCACCGTAATAGTTAAGCCCAGTTACCAGCTAATGACATGAGCTATCCAACAGATTTCCTGATTTCTTCATCAACAAGATCATCAACATACGCAGTACACTTGTGGATTCTTGTCCTATCTACGCCGAGTCTAAAACACCTATGGTCTCGTTTAAGTTATCAGCTTTCTCTACTGTTACATCCAGTGAAATTTAGTCACTAACCAAGAAATCCAACAACAAATATTCTAGCCTCCTCGATCCTATACCACCCTGGGTGCTCAAGAAATGTCTACCATAACTACTACCTACTGTACAGTCACCAACACTGTGAATCAGTCTCTTACATCTATATTATGGCACCGTACTACAAAGAGGCCATTCCAGCTTACTCCTATTCTGAAGAAATCAGACGACGCCTGAAGAACTACAGACCGATATCCAACCTCTCCTATATATATAAATTCTTAAGTAACATATATCATACAATATGCATATTTTTACCATTGTAATTCAATAGACACTGTATTTTTTCACAATTGTGTTTGACTCATTAAAGTAATATTATAAGTCCGGTGGGGGATTATCCTGGCAAGGGGTGGGGATTTAGAGAAGAGGCATAAGAATAGATTAATGCTCTCAAATCCCCATGATCTCTTGCTTTCAATAGGTGCATACCAGATAAATGTGTGTTTTAAATGTGTGTGTATGTGGGGGGGGGGGGGTAGGGGACTAAAGCCCTTTCTGCCACCAGCTCTGCTGCCTGTGTACTTTAGGACTGTCATTCTTTTTTCCCTTTCTTTGGGCCTTGTTCTCATTCTCAAATGATCCCTGATTCCTATCTGCATGTGCTAGAGTACTGTTTTTATGTTTCATTACAACAGTATTGTATGTATGCTGTTTCAAATACTGTATATTATCATTTCAGAAATGTAGCGGAAAGACGTTTCTTTTTTATAGCTTTTTGTATAAATCAGCTAGTCAATCAGCACTGGGGATTAAATTCTGTGCAGGGTTAGTCAGTCCCTCCTGGTGGATTTTCTATTCTTTCAATCCATGAAAATCATTGTTATCTACATTGAAAATTATCGGTCATATACATGCATAGTTACCCCTGATCTAACTTCATGCTTTCTTTCAGGAATTGTACATCCAACGTCTAGCAGATGCTGTTGCGATTAAAAGTGTTTCTGCATGGCCAGAAACAAGAGGGGAAATTGAGAAGATGGTCAATCATGTTGCAGATGTAAGTAGGGATTTATTAGCTTTTAAAATAGAAATGAATTCTGATGATAATCTTGGTCATAGTTTCTAAAGAGGACACAAAATAATTAACCATGCTTTACCACACAGATTTGAACACTCTGATTGATGGTAGTGACTATTGGCCAATGTCCCTGTCCTGACTGCTGTCTCGATCAGCGTGTACAGGGGCAGATCCAAGGGGTACAAGGGGTGCACACCCCTCCCTGCTTTGACTTTGTGCCCCTACTTCGAAGATAACCCATACAAAATAATGTTTTTTCCCTTTGATTCTAGGGGTGCACCCCCCATGGTTAACTTTGTGTGTAGCACCCCTCCCTGAACAAAATACTGGATCCCCCTGGTTTAGCAATAAAAACAGTGGAAAAAGCATTGCTTTAATAATTTGAAATACTTTTCAATGATTCAGAGCATGAGTTTGTGTGTGTATAAATTCCTGATAACATAGGTTTCCTAACCATTCCCCTCTTTTAACTATAATAACATTACATCTACAAACAGTCAGAGCTCAAGTGTTTCAGATGACCACTTTAAATGGCGGCCCAACCAATAATAATTACTAACCAACATTGGACCACTGGGGAGTAAAGAAATGCTCATACTAAACACATCTCATAAACTCATTGTAAAGTGTCTTTGATGCTATCCATATGGAACAATAATGGTGGTATATAAGCCAGACATCAGATATGAATTACCGGTTTTCAATATTCTGTGAACTCGATAGTTGAAGCCCCTGGGGGGTACTCCCATATATGGACTATACAGGGATGATCAGCTGAACAGGGTATGGTTTCTCGAGCTTCTTGTCATAAACAGGGTATGCAATTTCACTCAAGTTCCAAGTTCTTCCTGAGTTTCTTGTCATATTCAGGGTTTCTACTTTCGTATTGACCGAAACTGGTTATCATGGTCATAAAAAAATGATACGCGAGATTACATGATAATTGAAACAGGAAATCAGTGCAGTTAATTATATCTTTTGTCATAAACAGGGTACCCCTTTCAGAATCCCAGTGGAACACCTCTACCCAAATTCTGGCAGAGTACACCCCCTGCCCCCGGGTTGAAGCCACACACTGTAAATTTTTATTATTTTTTATTTTTTGCTGCTGTCAATCAAAAATAATCAGTCAGTACCTCTTATGTTATTGACTGGCGGCAGTAAAAGACCAATTTTACGACAAGCCAGTAAAATGAGTTCACAGAATATCAAAGACCGCAATAAAATATTGGTTAATTGATTGCTTGTTATTTGATAGGAACTCAAAAAGCTTGGTGCAACTGTAGAGTTGGCTGATATTGGTCAGCAGACTCTACCTGATGGATCAAAACTACCCCTTCCTCCTGTGATCTTAGGCAGTCTGGGTGATGATCCTGCAAAAAAGACTGTAAGTCCTGCATATGTCATGTATTAGAATTAAACAATATAAAAGGTGCACTCATGTCTCTGTCAGTACTGTCATATAACTACATTGGGGGTGGTAGAAACTAGTGCAGTTTCGTGTCTGTGAAAAGCTCAGTGCCGTAAGCGTGACATGCCATGACCGTGATACTTTCTAGAGTTTTAATTGGCTGATTTTTTTCATGCACAATATGATTGGTCTAAAAGTGCCGTGATCTTGGCGTGACCATGTCTGCACCATGTTTATGCCATGTTCCGGATATGTTATTGGATGGAGAGTAAATTCTCGTGCAATGTGATTTGTCTGGCGTATCACTTACTGTGTCACAACTGTGTTCCTGCGGTGAACTTTTCACAGTCATACGAAAACTGTTTTTTAATTAGCATAATTTATACAATTTGGGCAACTTCTGCTTTGAAATTCTCCAAGAATTATTTTAATAATTTGAGAAGTAATATCAAGCCAGTTGAAAGAGTGTTTCATCCTCTATCCAAACGCCTAAAAATTAATTTAAAAAACTCTGCTCCACCTCGTTTTTTTCGACTTTTATCGTTACCGTATTTTTTACTTTATTTGTTACTGTATATATATTTGTTTGATTATATTTGTTGATTTTTATCTGTAGCCTATTTATAAGTTAGCATAGACCCCTTTAATGTGATGTCAAAGCAGCTCGATCTGCTGGGGGACAAAACAAAAGAATTCCAATCTCCTGAGAATTGGATCTTATTGTTTTGTCACCCAGATTGAGCTACATTCCAAAGTGCTGCAAAGGGGTGTATTGTGTAATGTAGTATTTGTAGAGATAGAATAGAGGCTTTGCACCATCACGTGCCGGCGCCATATACAGCTTGGACTAGTCCTGCTACCTGTGGTTAGATGGCAGAACAACAAAATCCCTTTGCTCTTGGGAATTGAATTCCTTCTCATGTAAAACGATTGTATTGTTCCTGCCATTTAACATGGCTGCCATCATGTGATGGTGCAAAGCCTCTAATAAAAACTTAAAAAGTACATGAATTTTGTTTCTGCTTTGACAAGTTTGCTTTGTTCCAGGTGTGCATTTATGGCCATCTTGATGTTCAGCCTGCTCTTCAGGTAAAATCCTTTAATAGAGAGGGAGAATTTAATATTATTTTAGATACAACACTTCTTTTACCACCGTTTGCATTACTATGCAGCCACCCCAGACACAGATCACGTTGTGTAGTTTGCAATATAGACTGCCGTCAATCAAATCATTCTACTTGGATGTACTCAAACTCTTTGCAATCGCTTTCGGAACTTCCCTTCGTGATATCTGATTGAGAAAGTTTGATAGAAAACCCAACTCACTGATCCAAACATGTACTATAAATGGCGTCAACATGAATGATCGACAGTAGTCTATTGCAAACTGCACGACTTGATTTAGTGTCTGGGGTGGCTGCGTAGTAATGCAAATGGCAGTAAGAGGCTCTTCTGTGAGATTTGCTCCACACACACTACCGCTACACTCATTATTTTTAACACCCAACTCACATGTTGATTTTCTTGGAGGGACTGGTAGAGAACCTGGAGAAAAACCCTCATGGCAAGGGAGAGAACAACACATCAAACAAATTTAACTCACATGTTGATTTTTATGGAGGGAGGTAAACCAGAGAACCTGGAGAAAAACCTTGTGGAACAGGAGAGAACAATGTTCACATCAAACAAACTCAACTCACATGTTGATTTTTATGGAGGGAGGAAACCAGAGAACCTGGAGAAAACCCTTGTGGAACAGGAGAGAACAACACATTAAACAAACTCAACTCACATGTTGATTTTCATGGAGGGAGGAAACCAGAGAACCTGGAGAAAACCCTTGTGGCAAGAGAGAGAACAACACATCAAACAAACTCAACTCACATGTTGATTTTCATGGAGGGAGGAAAAAGAGAGAACCTGGAGAAAAACCCTTGTGGCAAGGGAGAGAGCAACACATCAAACAAACTCAACTCACATGTTGATTTTTATGGAGGGAGGTAAACCAGAGAACCTGGAAAAAAACCTTGTGGAACGGGAGAGAACAACACATTAAACAAACTCAACTCACATTTGGCTTAGGCTGGGAATTGAACCAGCAAACAAAGGTATGAACCAAACAGTGCGCATTCAGAGATAGTGCTGTAGCAGCCTATGGCATCCATGCTATCCATTTATTATTTACAACATAAGAGAGAGAATGATTTCCTCACTACAAAATTTCCAATTTCCTCCATGGCTGGGATAAGGATATTTTCTGGAACTACACATTCTTTACTAATTTACAGTTAGTATTTGTGAATATTTAGATGATTAAATGAAGCTAACCTTGAGTAAATGACTCTGTAATCAAGGAAAGCAATGGTATTTGACTAATTTGAAAATGATGTATTGAATCCTAGGAAGACGGTTGGGATACTGATCCTTTTGTATTAAAAGAGATTGATGGAAAGCTATACGGAAGAGGTTCTACAGATGATAAGGTAGGTAGTACATCACAAGGCTGCGTAGCCACCAGTACAGTTGGTCTGGTTTTATTCGCACCAATTTTTACCTTCAGAACCATGTTTTTCCCCTTGTAAAAAATGTATTTCACATAAGTAATACATAAAACAACAGGACCACCTTTTTTTTGAAAACCAGAACATTGTCCAATATTGGCTATGGTCTTGGTACAGTACTGTATATATGTCAGTATACTAGGTGATCAAGAAATATTATATGGTAAAATGGTGTAGGCACTTAAATTCGGTCTGGAACTTTCTACTAATGTGCAACCCATACATGCACTTTGATGTACATGTACTTTGGTTTATTGAGATCTGCAGAGTTGCCATGGTTACTCTGACTTTATGTGCCAGGCCCCCCTCATCACACGGAACAAGCACTAATGCCAAGCTCATCTACTAGTGATGAGTTAAAGAATGTTTTTATCAATTATGGTCAATTGTTTTTGTTATCAAATTGTCAGGGTCCTGTGTTGTGCTGGTTGCACGTGATTGAAGCCTACAAAGAGAATGGAATAGACCTGCCCATCAATATCAAGGTATTTTGATTCTCTAAAGGAGCAGGTGTAACTATGTTGGTTAATGTGGGGGACTTTCAGAGCTAGAGGTCCATCCGATCCTCAGGATCTCCACGTCTGTTTTGACTTCTATCTGTTCTATGTAGCTTTAGCTTTAAATACCTGTAATAAGGAGCACTGATAGTCTGAAATGGTAAAGGACACAATACACCAGTTTCGCATTCCATGCTGTTTTTGAAGAGCACAGACTCATTTGTACAGCCTTAACCTCATCTATAAGTCAGCTATTCACAGATACCTTTAAAAGTCTGTGGCATTTCAAAACTTGTTCAACTTGCACATTTACATTACCATTTGTCTTTTGCAAATGATTTGCTTTTAAGCGAGGCTAAGCCTGTACAAATGAGTCTGTATTCATAAAACACTTCTTCATTGAGCACTTCTTTATACATGAGCCCCTGGCTCAGGAGATTGGGCAACCACTTCACATGTTAAATTACATTTACCTTTTCTAAAGCAGTTTTTACAATGTAAGTAATATATACAGTATGAGTGGCTGTGTTATATCACTGATATACAAACTGGAGGTGTAGCCGAAAGTTTGTATATCTGATACAACACGGCCACTCATATTGTAGATTGCTTGTCAAACGTCTAGGTTAGTTCCTTTGTGTTTCACTAAAATTTTCAAAATTAAAATGAATCTGGCCAAGAAAATCCAACTTAAAGTTTATGCAACTGAACTCAATTTTTGTATCAGATTTACAACACTCTTCACAGTCGTGATTTCTGTTGTTTTTTCATCATGAATTATTAATGAGTTTGACAAGTTATGTTTACAATATGAGCGGCAGTGTTGTATTGGATATACAATCATGAGCCAAAGGCCAGTGATTGTATTGCCAATACAACATGGATGCAAATGTTGTAAACCAAATTGTGAAATTTTGTGAATAATTCATAAATCCTTTGGGACATTTTGACTTCAAGAAGCCACTCTAAAACTTTAATGATTTTGGGTTATTCAACATCTTACTCCATGTAGAATAAATACTGTGCCTTGTCAGAAGGGTGATAGGCATGGGTGGTGTGCGCTGCTAATGCCCCACCCCCAACCCCCCTCCCCCTCACCAAGACTCATTCAGTGGGCTTGTTTTTGTATGTAATCGGAGTTGTTTCTGGAATCTCTCTTATGCTTTGAGGGCTTTTAGCTTTTTTCTTTGGGTTCTCTGGTTTTTGCTCCTGCCTCAAAAATCAACTTCTAAATATTTCAATCTACCAGCTGTCTTTTCAGTGCCTGCTCTATCAAGTGGGTTGAAAATACTGTGAAACTTTCTATAAACCTCTTTATTTGTTTATTTCTATGTTCACTTATTTATATCTTTTGGCAGTTCTGTTTTGAGGGAATGGAAGAGTCTGGCAGTGAAGGACTTGATGAACTCATAGCTGAGAGAAAGGATTCTTTCTTCAAGGTTTGCTTTTATTGACATGATCTTAAATCACTGATCTTCACTTTACTAGCTTGTTATCACTGGTACCACTATTAAAAACTCACCTCATTTGTAAAGGCAAAAAGATGATAGTAAGATATCTAAGATAGATAACTAAGCAAAATAATTCTGTAACTCCTAGCCTGCATAGCAGCCCAAAGGGAAAGGGATTGGTCTGGAGAAGGAGGGGAGGGGGAACTTGGGAGAGGAAGGGGACTGGGGAGAGGATGGGGACTGGGGAGAGGAAGGGAGGAAAGGTAGGGCCTGCAATGAACCCCTTCGATTTTTCCTACGAACGTTCAGAATCCGAACGTTGATTTTGATTGGTTGATAAGTTCGATATGCCAATCAGATGTCAGAGGAGCTGATTCAGATATTTTATTCTTTAATTTGATTGGTTGAGAGTTTGCATATTAATTAGGGGGCGGTAGGAAAAATCGAAAGGGTTCATTGCAGGCCCTACCTTTCCTCCCTTCCTCTCCCCAGTCCCCCTCCCCTTCTCTTTGGGGCGCTACGCAGGCTAGTAACTCCATATTAATCACTAATGATTTAACTTGACTTATGTTGCAATTTGCTTAGTTTATTTAGACGTACTGTAGAATATACAATTATCGCATGAAGTTGAGCATAATATAAATAAATTATCAAGACCAAGGCAATGTTCTTTGCCAAAGCCATAGGTGGATAAAACAGGTGGAGGTCTTGATTCTACGATATCATGCAAAAGCCAAATTCAATAAGTGTTTTATTATGCATTTTACAAAAAACTAAGATTAAAGATTTGTTTCTGCTTTCAAAGAAATAGCAAATGTATTTCAATCTCAATTGTAACATTGAGTGAACTTGATATGATAAATGGGTTATCTGCAGAAAAACATACGGATATTGCATTTATCATGTTGAGTTCACACAACATCGTGGATTGCCTGAGGGCTCTTGGTCATTCAAAGGCAAATTAGTGAGTAAATTGTATAATAATCCTGGTTATTATATCCACTTCCCGATTATAAGCCCACCCGTCTGTTAATTCCTGTAGTTCAATGATTATAATTTCGGTATAATTTTTACTTTCCTTTTTTTTTCCCAGTCCATTGACTATGTTTGCATATCTGACAACTACTGGCTAGGAAAGGAGAAACCTTGTGTGACTTACGGATTGAGGTAGGTAAATACGAATATTAGAAGCAAATGGAATATGAAGAAAGAAAGAAAGAAAGAGAGAGAGAGAGAGA